AATGGTGTGTACAAAAATTTGTAAAGGACAACTAACTGCAAAAAAGAATATTTCAAAAAGAAATGTACAGAGATTTACTAGACATTAATGAAGTTTGCTCATATCTTCGCGATCGTTTTCGAAAGTTTCAAACTTCGATTGATGTTATTTAGAAATTTCGGAATGCAAACATGGTAACGCAACGGAAAGTGTTTGAAAAGCCGCAAAAATGTCATGGAAGGCTCGTTCATTCTTACACTGCAGATGTCCTAGCGTACTAGTTTTAAACTTTAATGATAATTCGTTGTTATCATTTCTTGTTTAAGGCCCCGTGCACACTACGTTGGAGGAATTTGAAAAACGGAGGGTTTACTTTGAAAATTCCGTTCACAGTACGCTGGGGGAATTTAGAAGCACGACAATCACCAATCATTTTGGATTTCTGTTTAAAAAAAAAAACGCGGGCAGTGAAATCACATGATTATCGCGAGGTCATCGTTTTTATTTAACTCCGTTTTCAAAATGTTTTCCGTCCACACAAAAACGAAAAGCCGGCGTTTTTAAATTCCTCCGGTTTGAAGGTCGTTTTCGAAAGGCTCCGTTTTCGTGACGGATTAGTGTGGACGGTAGGCCGAACCGTAGAAATAAAGCTGCGTTTTCAAATTTCCTCGGCGTAGTGTGGAGGGGACCTGAGTTAAACGAAACCCATGTTCGTATTTGACTATTTTTCTGTGCAACTACCGCACACAAAGACACTAAAACAGCAAATACAATTCACATCCCTGATCGGCTCTAATCACCTGTGAACTGGTTCTCACTGCTTAGTGAGCTAGCGTTACAAACTGTACGGCTATCTAGAGATGTACGGCAAACAAAGAAAACGTGTTACGTAAAGAAAAATATCCTGTTTAATTTTCTCGGGAAAGTAATCTTACTTACATTCTCTGGCTATAAAACAGTATTAAATAAAGTTAATAAAACTCATTTTTCTTCTCAGCAGAGAAAAATAAAGGACACCCAAAACTGTTCAAGATTACTTTTTGCTAATTCTGGTTTTTTGCTGTTGTTGTTTTCAACTGTTGTTGTTGTTTTTCGTGATGAAAAGAAGCCTGATTTAAACTTTCCCAATCTTACCAGATACTCATAGAATTCATGGGTACCATTCATGCTTTCATCCCTTTACAACATAGCATTTTTCCTGAACCATCAAAATCCTGATTGGAACAAGCTTTGATGAGCAGATGGGCGAAGTTGTGTACGTTCCCTTGCATTGTTAGCATTTCATCAACAGCTACAGATTTGCGATGTTTTCGACAGTCTCTGACAGTTCTTCTTGAGTAACATCTTTATTCGATGGAATGAGTTTCTCTTTATTGATCTGCACGAAAAGAAATGAAAACAATGTCAGCTGAAATGAAATGCACTATGCCATAGCTTAACATGTAGAACAGGTGACAAGCCTTATTTGTCAAATGATCTTGATTGCCATAGCAATTGATAACATTTGATAACAAAACTTTGAAACTTTAACTTAAACTTTTCTTTTCTTCTTTGAAGAACTGGTGTTGGAAATTTAATTATTATAACTATCATTACGTCTGCCACAGTTTTTAGGTCTTAGTGGGACACTTCTCTAACCAGTTGAAGATCAACTAATTCTCACCACCAGCAGGTTTGACTTTGTGTTGAGATTGGTAGAAGAAAATAGATTCTGATCAACATTTGAGCTCAACTGGTTACACATTAGATGTGTGCCTAGCCAGAGTGGAAGAGTTCACAAAAGAGCTTTCTTTTTTTCATTATCTTTACCTTATCACACGATTGCTGTTCTGTCATCTTGACTTTTGAATCAGTCACACCTGGACTTTTAGCCTCAATCAACAGTGTGTTGTGGACAGCTGTAAAACTCTTGTTGATCTCCTCAATCTGCTGGAACGTTTTTTCTTTTAACTGTAAACAGAAGAAACGATATCAACAAACATTATACACTGTATGTCTACTGTTCCCAGGTTGTGCGAGGGTGAATAATGCTATCCACTGTGTTAATCACTATTCAGTGGGTAAGTTGGAATGTAGATTGTAGAGACCTATAGAAGTGTAAGAGCTCCTTAATCAGATGTAAAGAGAATCAAATATTAACTTCATAATAAAACCAACTATGATATTCACTTGATGGTAATTTATCCAGTGGATGTATTACCAATCCTTTGAACAACTGGATCTTAGATTTCAATTCAAAACTTACATCCAACCGCAAACCCTTTGTCTTATCTCCTACTCTACTGTTTGTTGCACTGTTTATCTATAAAGCTCCTCATTGCATGCTAAGGGGTGGGGGGGTGCTTGCCCTGCCGGCTTTTCCTCATTCTGCATTTTTTTTTGTTTTTCCCAAATTAAGGGGGGGCCTGGGTCCCTCCCCTAGATCTGCCACTGCTGATTTTCCTCTAGCTTCCACTCTGCTGTAGGTTTTCCCCCCTTTTCATCACTTCCCACATGCCATCACCAATCTTTTATCAATTCTCATAGAGAATTTCTTTTCCTTTCCTTCATATTATACCCTGTTCCGTCTCCTACGTTGCACCCAAAACAGTCAAAGGAATCTAAATGTGCATCATCATGGGTCACGAAGACCAGTTATTAATCAATTCATCTGCGATCGGATTACAACATTGAGTTGCATTTGTGAGTCGAGGAAAAAGACACAAGAAGCTGAAACGTTCCTGGACGTTATTAGTTCCTTAGATAATCCTACCTTCTTTTTAGGGAGACTGTTGTTCTTGGCCTTTCTGACACCAGAACTGTTTCTTTTTCTCGTCTGAAATTTATTTTTCAGCTTCAATTTCACGTGTGTTTTACCGGGCGCCATGTTTTTATGCAATATTTAAGAGCAACACCGCTACTCAAATGAACTGCTTTCTCGTCTGCATGGCTTTGTAACATCCGGGCTTTTACAGCCCGAGTCCCTCCCACCGCACTTGCGCATAACCGGTCCCGGCCATATTCTCCTTGTCTTCGTGGAACGTGGAGTGTTTTCTCTGCTGATTACCTTCTTTGAGGGAGGAGTTTGATCAAAGTTCCTTGATCAGGTAAGTGGTGATCATGTAGATAGCATCTCCTTTTTCTGACCTTTCTTTCGAGCTCTGTTTGGAGGTATATCTCTCTTAGGGCAGGCGGAAGAAGTAGACAAGCAATGCGATACTCGAGTTAAACTTCACTTCATTTGCCGGATTTCACCCGAAAATGTGCAATTTTAAACAGGAACTTTGCTCAAGGGACGGTTTATCAGTTCGTGCTGTAGACTTTTTATGGCCAGTACTTTGTTAAGCATGTTTGTAGTTGGAACATTAAGCGTTTACTTAAAATCAGCTTACATGTAGTTTTTGTAAACGGGCGAATATTGTGAGCTGTGCACTTTGTAAGTAAAGTACTTTAGATAATATGTAAAGTTAAATTACTCTTCTTAGATGAATACGTTGATGTGCACTATCTGAGAGTCAGTACAATTTTCGACAATGCGCACGTAATTGTGAAGCAAATCAAAGTTTTAAATTAATTTTATAGTTGCTATGTTATGTTCTACGTTAGCGGCCGAGTTCAATCCAGCGACAAGGCAACATAAGACGGAATCATGCTGAATGTTGCTAATTTCTTCAGTTTTTTGATTTTGCTTGTACACGAAAACCCGTTTGTGTCAGTTGAAATTAGTGGGTGATTTGATTTTTAATTCTTCAGGCAGAAACTGAAACTCCAAGGGTAAGCTCAATGTTAAATTAGTGTCATCAGTGATGGTTTTCTGATCATTTCAAATTTAATTTGCTTAATTTCTTAACAGTGATCTTGCAGTTTGCTGGAAAGGAATACTGATATGTGATCGTTTGGTTGTAAATAAAAAAAGGCATAAGCAAGTGCTTACTGCAAGGTGTAATGAAAATCATATCTGTTAGTTTGACGCTAATCTCAATTTTCCTGTCATGTTAACAATGTTTCACTCACAGAACCAGAACTTTTGTTTCCAAATGAATTTGAATGGAAACAAGCTGAGAACACTAGGTGAAATTGCCACTGATTTTTGCAAGTGTGCTAAAATATATCATTTATTGCCAAGGATCAGAGTTGCAGACAATGTGGAGGTGTTTACATGTGACAACTGACGCCTACTTCCTGCAGAAAACGAGTTACCACTTATGACTAAATTTTAAAAGTTATTTAAAATTCCCTTGAGGCAGAAGTACACTGTATCTCATTCTTAGCTGGTATCAAAAAGGGAAGCTCTAAATTTGATGTCTGCAAGTGATGGTTAATGCTTACAAGCTCTGGAAGTCTTTCCAAACTCCATCACAATCATGCATGAAATTAATGAGAAATCTGGATTTATTGACTGCTCGAAGAAAGAGGATTTACAATTGAAATAATCAGTGATTTTCCTTTCTGTTGTTTGCAATAGTTTCTAAATGAATAAAAATATTATTTCTATGCGTTTTTTTCAAGTTATACAGGCATACAGATCTATAATCACATGGCATATGTAGAGAAAAAATTATCCACCTTTTTGTTGTCATTACCGAGGGCAAAAAGCTCTTACAAGCTACATGCTCATTTTGTCGCCTGTTATTTAGTTAAACTGTCGTGTAGATGAAATTAAGTATACCATGAGGTCAGCATA